TCACATCATTTTTAGTATCAGAGCATGGTTTTAAGGTAGGATTTTTTTTATTTTTTAGATTAGTTGACTCTTTTATTTGATATTAAAAAAAATCTCATTCATCTCATTTAGTTGTTTGTGCACATCATTCATCTCATCTAGTTGTTAGTGCATGCCCACTCGCACAGGTCTACCCTATTAATTTAGGAGAGTCAAGTGAGTCAACTAGTGAGTCAAGCATGTCAGGCAGTACAAATCCCGAATTCTCCGAACTACTTAAGCAAATCGCTGAGTTAAACGGACAAATAAGTAACTTAACACATGAGAGCAGAGCTACCCGTGAGACCCTGAATAACACCAACGAGAGACGTGCTAGGTTAGAAGAAACGCGGGTTACAACTCCGCCACGAGGTCAAGGCTATGGATACCCACCGCAAGGTCATGGGTACATCGTTCATCGACCCCCGCCTTAACTTGTGCCTGATCCACCAACCTTTGATGGTAAGCTCGATCCACAAACTTTCTTTGACTGGCTGAAGAGCATGGATTGCTACTTCGATTGGTACGTCATGACGAAATCCCAGAAAGTCAAGTTTGCCACAATGAAGCTCACTGGACCCGCCTGTCAATATTGGTCCAACTTTGAAATGATAAGACATATTAGATGTGGGTTACAATTTTTACTTGGCGAGAAATGACCGACGAACTGAAACGAAAATATCTCTCATCATCGTTTATTTATAGATTGCTAGATAAGTGGCATTGTCTTACTCAGGGAACCAAATCTGCAAAAGAGTACGTTGCTCAATTTGATGAATTGTTTACTCGATGCAGCACCATTGAATCAGAGACACCGATGAAAGTCTTATCAAAATTTAGAGCTGGATTAAGAAGTGACCTCCAAACCGAACTTTTTGCTAGAGAAGTAAACACCCTTGAGAGAGCTTACGCCTTAGTTCAAGATTTAGATGAAACCAAATTTCATCAATCTCATAGGGCTCAGAATTTTCAAACTCATCCCTCCCAGTCTTTCCGTGCTAATACATCTAGTCAGCCTCTTAGTCGATCTAACCCTAGTTCTTCCCAGTCTAGAGTCGATCTCAAGGGCCAGAAGTCAGAGAGATCTCTCTCCAAACTTAGCCCAATAATGCAGTGTTACAATTGTCAAGGATATGGGCACGTTGCTTCCGTCTATACAACTCCGTTCAGAGTTAGAATTAATAAGCCGTCTATAACAGAATCAAAATCTATTATTAAGGAAACCATTAACCAGGCCGTAGATTTGATAGAATCTAACTCTGACAAGAAAATCCAGGATAGTATAATCGAAGAACCATACACTTCCGTTTATTCTGAAACTACCTCTGCAATTGTGAAGTTAATTGAATTTTCATGCAATGACAACACTCCGACTATTCCTCAATCTACCCCTTTGATCACGGAGTTCATTGATGTTGTCCCTGAAGCTGTTCCTAAAATTGAAACTCCAACTCCCGATTTCACTTCAGTGACTGAAAACGTTGTTGATATTCCCCACGAAGTCCTCTTGGACCAACATGATACCCAACACGTTCCTGATTTGGTTCCTAAAGTGAGTCACTCAAATATCTGTATGGAAGTTGAATCCTAAATAGAGGATCGTGAGATAGCTACATCTCGCTACCATATTAGATGTCAAACCCTCATGCATTGTCCCGATAGTCACTGACACATACACTGATCCTTTTTGGGAATATATATAGATTAGGGATATAAGTTTGAACACGAGTGTTTTCATTCTCTCTCATGTTAAACAAGCAAAAACACTCATCCGTCATGCATGTGTTTGCATGTTCCTCCTTATCACTGCAAAAATAGGAAATTTGTTATGCATATTAACGAAGGAACACCTAATTATTCCATTTGATAGAGGACGTCATGCATTTTAGACACTTCGTTGAGTTACATCTGCCATTGATCACATTGTTTGAGTCTGCATTTCATCATAATCATTTGAGTTGATTTACATCATTTTTTTATTTTGCATTGATCATATCAAGGATCTAATTTGAATAAATACATTGCTAACTGAAATGTATGATATTGAGTCAGGACCTAATTTAAAACTATTAATGTTGATATTTTAGATGGTTCGGACTTATCCAATACAGTTTATTTATAGTTGTTTAAGATTTAACATGATATGTATGAGCTTTTCCAACTCTTGAGCTAATTAATGGCAACATTTATTGATTTGGTCATAGTTCTATCTCAATATTGAGTGATTAAACAGTTCACAATGTTATTGGCAGTCCACTGATATAAGCCTGATCATAACCTATTATTTATGAGAGTTCTTTCACTTTACTCTACTTCTATATATTCATCCATACAACAGTGAATTTTGATAATATTTTAGATGGTGAATTTATAATGCAATCTAGCTAATGATTAGAGATGCAGAAAAATAACTGACAGCAGATTAAGATGCAGACAGAATATATTGAAGATAATAAGTTTCTGCAGCTAACTCGACGGAGTCGAGTTTTCTCCCACCCGGGAAGAATAATAAGGACAAGAAATGATAATATTTGATTAGTTGATATATTTTTAAATTTTGAAATTTAAAATTTAAAATTTGAATTTTGAATTTTGAAATTTAAAATTTAAAATTTAAATTTTGAAATTTAGTTTAATTTTAGTTGAGTGATTTGAAGGATTGTTGTTTGTTTCTATTTTTATTGCACGTTGTGTGCACGTAGTTTTTTTTTTATATAAATAAGGTTGTATGAGACTATTGAAAATCAATGAATTATTAAAAATTAAAATGAAATTTGAGTTGGTTTAATTTGGGTGTGAAACCCTAAGCCAATACTTGTTCCTCTTCTTCTAGCCGTCAAACCTCTATCTTCTTCCGTTCATCTGTTCATCTCACAGCCTCGCTATCCCCACCCCTTCTCTTCCACAAGCTGCCGATCTCTCCCTGCTCTCCTTACCTTCGAGCAGCCGTTGTTCCCGCCTCCGTAAGCCGTCAGAACCACCTCGTCCTCCTCCACTCTTCGAGCCGTCGTTTATTTCGTCTTGACGTCGCTGCCGGCCTCGTCCCGACGCCCGCCACCTGTATCGACCCGATGACTACCCGTGGGACATCGCACTGCCCTCATCCCATCGCCGCGTCATCATCAGTTCAACACTGTCACACTCGTCGTCATCAGATCTCCGCCTCATCATCGTCGTTCAGTTCACCGTTACCGTCGCACCACCTCCAGAGGTCTCTCACGTCGAGTCTGTTCAGACCGACGAAGGTTTCATTTTCTTTCGTCCCTTATTTTTCTGTTGATTTTATTTTGTTAGTTAATTACATGAATAATACATCTCTAAACTCTTGTCTTATATTCACTGCGTACATTATAATTGTGAGTTGAGAGTATCTGAACATGTGACTACTTAAACTTGATATTGATCTTAGAACTTGCGAAAATGATAATTGATATTACAATTAAATTATTTGAGATAGGGATTGTTTATGACTATCATTGCATATCTTGTTAAAATCCATTTGTCACATTAACTGTTTTAGATTAAATTTCCTGCCTAAGATCATGAATTTTGGAGAAACGGTGCGTTGTTCGATTTAGATCGCTGATTCCGATGGACCCCCTCCCCCGTTTCGCATCACTAATCAGTTGAAGTATTGACAGAATTTTATACAATAATAGAGCATAGACTTCCTTGTTAAACTTAATGACTGATATCAATTCCTTGAAAAATCAGATATAATCAGAAAGCGATATCCTATAATTTTTGTCACATACACCTATTTGATTTTGTTTATAATTTAATTTAGCTTAATAATCTCCTAGATTTTGTCGTATGAATAGTGTTATCAACAACCAAGCCCAGCTACAGAAATTTAAGCTGATACTTCAGAAAACTTAACAGTTGTGTTAAGATGAACATTATAGGAACATTATAGGACACTCACAACAGCAAGTTGGCAAGTTGGCAACCTTTTTATGTTTCTTTAGTTTGTTGAGAGAATTGTTGTTGATTTTAAGTGAAAAAATGATCCATGTGGACGCAGATTTTTCATACCTCTCTACTAGGAACTTCATCATAAATGTCGACGGTTTTCCAACAAGAATAGGTTCTTTCTGAGTTGATCCACAGACTGCAGCAACAATACACCCCGCACCTAAAGACACATGCCCAAACAATTACAGGAAACTGAAAATTTGTTGATAAGCAGAAAATTACTAACCAAAGTGGAACCTGGCCATTCTTGTGACTCTGTTAGATTGCCAGTAGCATCACGGTTGGTTGCAATAAAGAGGCACCCGGGGTTCTCACGGATGCACAAAGTTGCATACCTGCAAAATTCCAAGAAGCTAGTCTTACAAGAATCTTCGATAGATGTAACCTATATCAAATAATAACGATGCGAAGGAACTATATTTAATAGGTTTACTGCCTAAGATTAGTATATGACAGTGTCTATAGCATAGATATAAAATTGAAGAATAAATGGCAAAGCTTCATAACTGAAGTTATCAACACTGCAGAGAAAAATTACTTCAAAAATTCCTTAGTTATAAATGACTAAGGAATTACGATAATAATCTGTGACCTACAAAGGCCAGAAGGAAGTAAACATTATACTAATTGTCGAGCATTAGATAGAATACACATATTCTCTTATTATCCCCTACATATCATGATCTTTAATCATAAATGATATATGAAATTACCGAGATCCAAAGACACTATATTCATGAGTTTCATGTGTTATTGCCTTAGTATATGACAGTGTGGTATAACATTAGATTCTTTTTGAAGATGTGAAAAAGAAAAACAAATGTCAAGCTTCATACTGTAGCTTATCAACCATGCAGAGAGCATTCAGTATACACAAATCCGTAGTTACAAATGACAGCACTAGAAATTATATGAGCATATGCTTGTTGCTACCATGAGTTATAGTAATCATCTGTATCCTACTAAACTCAGTAGCTAGTCCATGATCAAACTTTATTTCATGCATTAGATAGAAAATGCAGGTGTTCTGATGAGGACATGAAATGTTGAAATTTTTACAGACTGTTGTATGGATTTTCATGCATAAGAAGCCAAGTAATGCTTCTCTAAATTTTCCTAGACCTTTAATGTTCTTATGATTCTCATAAGAATAATTTTTCCCTTTAATATTCACTATCAAAGATCAAATATTATCTTAGTATAGGTTATAGTAAATATGAAGCAGATGGTGAAAGTGATATCTACAAAAAACACAAAGTTTTGTTGTTGAGGAGAGGCAATAAAAGATAAAGAAGAATGAAGCGTCTTACTGGAGTTTGTAATAGTTTATGTACTTGTCAAGCCCAACAATTACGGCCCCAACCTGTATGAAACAGCTACACATCTTAATTGTATAGTTATGTCAAAAAAGCAACAAGGTATACATTTCCGAGCAATTATTAACTGAAAGTGTAAGAAATTAAAAGCATCAAAAATAAATAAGGGACAGGATGTTACACTTTTGTCATATTCAAATTGGAATCCTGATTTTAGCACTATGTTTCTCTTGCCATCTTCCTGAAAAAGACTTGACCAATTTAGGTTGCAGATTAGTTTAAACAATATTCAGACAAATAGGTAACTCGGATCAAACTGTTGGACACAAACAGGAATGACTATTAAATATTAGAGAGATTATAAGCACACGATAAGAACTAGTTCATAGGAAATCTGAACCCTACTGATTCAGCATTCTCACAGGCTTGCAACTAGCAGCTGCAATGTAACAGCTTAAATAGAAGTTCAAATATTATCTTCATTTCCGTGGAGCTAAAATTCTGCAAACCATTTTGAAGAAGAAGAAACAATCAAGGCTTACCGGGCCTCCTAATCCTATAAATCCAGCAAATTCTAGTTCCTCGAGTATTCCTTCTTCACCAACAACATAAACCTGGAAAAAGGGCCACAGGTAATTAACAAGGCGGTTAGCATCCATCAATCACAGAAATAGAAGAACATACTGCAGCTTACACAGGAAATTATAGTAACAAACCACCACCAACATAAGTACAGTCTACGTTGAAACTCTAAGAGACGAGGCAGAGGTGGCAGAACACAAAACTAAGAACCAAATGACTGCAATATTGATGAAGATCCTACCTTCTTACCATGAGGGAAGTTGTTCAGCTTCAAGAACATCGCGGCAGCAAATGATGATGAGAAGATCTCATCCTGCCAGTTTTTTGAAAATATATATATATCAGATCAAAAATGTGGTGGCCACTTAATTCTGGAGATGCTAACAAAAACATTTCGAATAAACATCACCTCACTGACATCAATCCCAAGAGCAAGGAATTTCTTTGCATATTGCCTCCTGGATTTGGTTGAGTTGTTGGTAACAAAAACCAGCTTCTTTCCCTGCATAAAACCGAACAGGATGCAAATTTCAACTCACCGCATATGAGATCCAAAATTGGCTTCTGGTTCATATTCCTCACCATCCAATACCAAAATATCTAGCAATGTCATTTGTTATTTTATTGATTAGGGCGATGCCCATATGTTTTTGTATTAAAAACTTGAATTCATGATGTTTAGCATTCCTTAACATAGTTAAGATTCTTAGGAAATGCTTGAATAAATCGTAAAATGAAGACTTCCACATTGAATAGAGCATTCCAATTCCAGGATGTCAAGTAATTTTCAGAAATCAACCCATAATTATTAATCCTAGACACCAAGATGAGGCCTAGTTGGCTATCCTATGTACTTCAAATGTAATTGCTTAGCTTCAACAACCGGGCTTAACTGAAGTTCAAAAGAAAAATCCAATCAACGGTTAACGCCAATCAGGTCCTCAGTATCTTTTCTTGCGCAGACTTTATACTATTACTTGGTTGAGTATTTTTTTTTTTTCGATCAACCCTTGAGATTCCATTCCATGAAAATAAACCAAAAGCGAATAAAGGAAAAAAGGAAGGAAAAAAAATCTAATTTTGAGCATCAAACCAAGCGCAAGAAGGATTTTTGGCGAAAACCCAGACCCCGAAAGAGCGAATAGAGTTGAGAAATTACCATAGATCGCAGAGATTGTAAAGCCTGAGGAACTCCTTCGATGAGCTTGTCTCCTTTCCAAATGACCCCTAAAAAAAAGATTTATTTTAAAAATAAAAAAAAAAGCGCACAGACTCTATAAGTATTGACGTTAGAGAGAGAAAGAGACCATCGCAATCGAAGAGGAAGACGTCGACGGATGCAACGAGATCTCTGGCGCTTTGAGGAGAGAGGGGGTTGTGCTTGCAACTGCTCTCCTCTTCTTTTTCTCTCGTTGTCACTTCAGCCATTTCAAGGGAGAGCCACGATTTTGCAAACAAAGATTTTTATAGGCCGAGAGAATTCATGGGAATTCCCATAGTACCCTGCGCTAGTCTTCTTCGTTCGTTCTGTTTTTTTTTTTTTTTTTTTTTTTTTTTTTTTTTTTTTTTGGGGGGGGTTGTTTTTTTTTTTTTTTTTTTTTTTTTTTTTTTTTTTTTTTTTTTTTTTGGTGGGGGGTGGGGTTAATTGCGTATTGGTCCCTCATGTCATCTTCAATTGCCCAACAGTCGCTCGAACCTCATTATTTGCTTGTAATTAGTCCCTTTAAACTTTAGCTTTCTTGTTTCCCTCGTGTTAGTTGGTGTTATTAATGACCGTTAAATGTGACTAAATTAGGTAGAATACTCATTATAGTCCTACCTATACTAACTCAAACTCACTTTTTTTGCTTCTTCAATGGTCCCATGCTTTCGCCAAACCCAAAATTGAGGTCATTCCCATGTCTAACTTCCCTCTACACCAAAAACTTGGGAGGGAGATGTGTACCCCAAGGGCAATAAGGTAGCTTGAGTTATTGGGTTAAGCAGTAACTCGACTAGAGTTGGAGAAATTTACTAGTATCTTACAGAAGGACCATATAGCAAACAAAACTAAATATTTAAGGGACTAATAAGCAAATAATGAGATTTAAAAAACTATTTAGCGGTCAGAGATGATTTAAGGGACTAATGTGAAATCCCCCTTTTTTTTAGAACAAAGCGATATTTTTGTTCCCGCACTCGCAACCTTTTTATATTTGCCGCGGAGAAATGAGATGCTCACTCGCAAGTCATAAGCGAACGCGAAGGAGATTCAACACACTCGTTGTTAACTATTATGCTCTTTTTTTTATTTATTCTTTATTCTTTATGTGCCACTCGCATTTCACGTTGTCCTCTCTCTCTCTCTCTCTCTCTCTCATTTCACGTTGTCCTCTCTCTCTCTCTCTCTGGCACCTGCATGATCTAATGTTTACACCGTTCTCATCTTTGATATCTGAAGTTTAATTTTGCCCCAAAAAACAATCAAAAAATATTAAAATATTTTACTTAGCACCCCTGTTGACTTATTACGTCATTTTAGGCTAAGAACGTTGAGATTCTTCAACTTCGGGTAATTCTCGAGCAAAAGATCTTCAGAATATCAAAATTAAAATGCACACAAGCTTGCACTGCAGATTCTATTAGAACACCTTGCGTTGCAGATTCCATTAGAACACACGCCCCCACAGTTGCTGCTGCTTATAGTTTTGCCGGAGTCCAAATTTCATCAGAACCGCCACCCAAGCAATACAATGTTTTTTGTTTTCGACTTCCTAGGGTGTAAAACAGATAAAAAAAATAGTATACTACATAAAACGCATGATTTAAGCGGTATTTTATCATGCGAATGAACAATTAAACTAGGCTCGCTTATTTGATAATCAAGCAGCTGCATCCCCCAGGCATTATGGATAACCCGTATGCAAATTTCCCTAAGCATTTCAGATATCGTCAATAGCTGCGGTTGTTATCTTCAGCTTGAGCATATTGATCTCCTAGATTTTAGCCATCTTGTTTCTACCGCATTTATTGCGTCCAAATCAAAATCTTAACCATAATACTCGTACCAATCTATAGAATGTTAGCTGATTAACTAACAACCGGGACGACCTGAATAAGAACAAACCATTAACAATGGCATTCATCATCATCATCCACAACAAGAACCGGGGAAATACAAACAAGTACCGGGCATACAAAAAAGAGTAAGAACGTAAATCCAGACGCACAGCTTCACGGGGCAAAGCAATCACCGTGACAATCCGAGGGATACCAAGCGACAATCAGACGAAACCAACAAGAACACAGCTCTTGACAATGAAAACGGATTAGAAAACATTTCACAAGGGAATGGCCAAATAATAATACAGCAACAGAAACTCTCTTTTATTGCAAACGAGGCCGCTCATGAGAACCCACATTGACCCGGCTACCGCCTTAATAACAAAGACAACTAGCAATTGCATGACTCATGCTCCACGAGGCACAAAAAACAAAACAGTTAAGAACCAACGTACATAATAGCCATAAAATCCACCAACTAAATTCTCTGTAAAATGTGAAACTCCTACAGAAACAAGATTTCAAAACACTTCAGACATTCGAATCTGCCAAGAAAATGCATCAGCTAACAAAATAATGGCCCAGGAGAACAAGCTAAAAACGTTGATGCACTACATCTCCTAGAGTCCTTCCTCATGCAAATCACTTGGTGAAAATATAATGTGAAAAAAACACTAGCAGGTGTTACGCCTATCAGAAGGAATCGTAAAGGTCAAACCCCATGCATAGATTTAACAAATCCATACAACATTAATCTACCCAGCTAAACAAAAAACTAGTTCAAGACTTACCTCATGCATATACTCTTAATTTGACAAAACATAAAAATCTAGAGAGGACAAACCTCATGAATAGATTCGACAATCCATAAAACACAGAAATCTATTGAAATTCGTAAAATTCTAAAATCCAATAGAACATAAATCTACCCAGCTAAAAGATAAATCTAGTTCAACTCACTAGAAACCTCATGCATAATCCAATAGAACATAAATCTACCCAGCTAAAAGATAAATCTAGTTCAACTCACTAGAAACCTCATGCATAGATTCTACAATCCACTCAACTCACTAGAAACCTCATGCATAGATTCTACAATCCACAAACCATACAAATCTAAAAAGGACAAACCTCATAAATAGATTCTACAATCCATAAAACATAAAAATCTACCAATATGCGTAAAATTCTACAATCCATAGGCGATAGAACTATCCAGCTAAAAGAGAATCTAGTTCAACTTGCTAGACAATACAGGTTCCTGGAAGCGATCTACATAGCAAAGTAAGCAGGGCAGGTAGTAGCTCTCAGTCAGGACTGCTTCTATCTTCTATCATATACTAGCAGGAACTCTATTCCCTGAAGTTGTTTGATCCAGTTGAAACCTGAGAGACTTCTAGAACAGTGCTGAAGCTAAAACATCTACCTTGCATAAGGATGGTATCTGCCAGAAGGACCAGCACCACCACCACCATAGCCTCCTCCCCTACCGCCAAAAAGCGCGCTGCCGGATCCAAAGCTAGGACCGCCATAGCTAGAACCTGTATCATAACCAGCACCAGCACCATAGCTAGAACCTGTACCTGAATCAAAACGACCACCTGCATAGCTAGAACCACCATAGCTAGAACCACCATATCCACCAAAGCCCTCATCACGCCCATACCCACCACCGTAACCACCAGCACCGTAACCTCCGTAACTACTAAAGCGCCTAGAGTAAGCAAGAGAGGATTCTCCCCTGTAATCTCCTAAGCCACCACTATAACCACCACCAAATTCACCTGCACCACTGCCATAACTGCCATATTCACCAATCCTAGGACCAAGCCCTCCAGGTGTCCTATAAGATGGACCAAACTCACCACCACCAAAACTATTGTAAGAGTTGCTATATCCAGCAAGACCACCGCCAAAAGAGCGGCCCCTAGGTTCACTAGCAAATGGAGGTGGAGGGTTTGAAGATTTCTTTGGTTCAGCCTTCTTGACCTCAACCTACAACATAGCAAGAATATTAACCTAAGGTCTTCTTAAAAGGTTCTGTAGAGGGAAAGTACACAAGTCTATATGGAACCATTTGCTGTAAATTAGCCTACACAGACACTATGATGTCCAAGGCAATGCCTCTATGAGAAGCTATGGATGCAATCATGTTTTCTGATTTTATGCATATCTGAATAATGCACAACATTATATTGCTAGCTTGGTTAATTGTATCTTCATATTATCTTAGACTGCAAAATACTAGACCACTTTACATAGAAGCATCAATATGGAACATAGTAATGTACTTCTCAATTGTAGTATTAACATATTATGTGCTACTTTTTGACTTAAAAGAACTATAGTTGCAACTGAAAAAGATATATGCACCAATAGTTTAAGATCCCTGCTAATTTACAGCAGATCAATATCATATGTCGGTGTCTATTATCTGCATCTTTATCAGATAAAAGAAAGTGGTATACCATAACGTGAAAATAATGCCAAATTTGGCATATGCACAATTTATTTATAAATGGTGTTTTAATATAAGCTCCCTCTAGACTAACCTGACTACCAGCAAAATCAATCATATTGCCCTTCGCTAACATATCATCTACAGCTTGCTCAGAGTCAAAGATTATAAACCCAAAGCCTCGTGACCGCTTAGTACTATGGTCACGGATGATCTCATGCTCCACTACTTTGCCAAACTTGGAAAAGAAGCTCTTCAATTCGTCTGAGAAGAACATCATCATACAATGCAAAAAAAGGACTTAATGCTAGTAATTTTAAATATAAAAAATGTCGAATTGAACAAAAGAACACCAGATAAACAATTAATACCTTCTTCCACAGTAGTCGGTATCCCACCAACAAAAATTTTCTTTGTTTTAAAGTCCTTTGTTTGAGCAGCACCTTTTGGAATTGTCCTTTTGATTTCAACCTACAATTACATGCATGAAATTACATTAAAATAGAGAAAGATGCCACCCACTGTGCCATCAAGGAAAAGAACAGGGCATGGCTACATACAACTCCTGGAAGGTGCCTACATAATAGTTAATAAAATTAACTAAATAAGCAATAAGGAACTTCCCATAGTTAACAACTGCTACTGGATATTACATTTCCTCCCTTTATTTGTTCTACAGTCACATATCCTCCCCCACACCAATGTTCATGAAATGACAAATATTTTTCATCAGTTGTAGACTTGCAGTTGCAGCCATAAGTAAAAAAATAAAATAAGATAATGTTTTCAGCATATTTAAAGAAGTAGTTATTGCTTTTTCATTAGGAGCCTTCACTGGTGTAGAGTACACGATCCATATCTATAGAAATTATAACGATAATTTTAATACGGACAAATTTTGAAAATCGATTTTTTTTAAAATTTAATAGGCAAAATCGACCATATAACAATAAAATGAGCAAAATCGACCCTTTTTTGCACGGGACTGCTAGTCCCGTGCAAAAAAAGGTCGCTTCCGCAAAAAAAATTCTCCGGTCCTCAACCCATCCCCTCATTCCCTCTCTCTCTCTCTCCTTCATTAACCCATCCCCTCTCCATCTCTCTCTCCCTCTCCTCCAATCCCACACCAAAAAAAAGACGATCCTGCTAAAAAAATCAAAATCAGCCCTCCTCCCCCAAATCCCCCCAACACTCTCCTCCCAAATCCCCCTGCACTGCTGCACCACCAGCACCGACACCTTCACTGGACAGCGGGGGAGGGCTTGGGTGGTGGCGCGGCTCGACGTGGCGGCAAGTGGTAGCATGGTCGGGGCTGAGGGGAACGGAGGACAGCGGCGGCGGCGAGCTGGCGGAGGAGGTGGAGTTGAGCTCACGGCGGCGTCGGGGCTGATGGTGGTGGAGATGATGAGGAGGCGGTGGAGCAGGGGGTTGGAGGGAGAGGGGGGGCTCGGGTCGGAGCTTGGGCTCAGGGAGGTGGTCGGGTGTAGGTCGAGGAGGTGGGCGCGGCTTGGGCGGCCCGATGGCGATGGAGGAGGGGCGTTGGGCGGTGAAAGTGGAAGAGTTTGTTGGGCTGGACCTTTTTTGCACGGGACTAGCAGTCCCGTGCAAAAAAGGGTCGATTTTGCTCATTTTATTATTACACGGTCGATTTTGCCTATTAAATTTTCAAAAAAGTCTATTTTCAAAATTTGTCCTTTTAATACAATGTGAAGTTAGTATCAACTAGACTATAAATCAAGACTTTCCAAGGATCCCAACATTTTAATGTATTATGTTACAAAATTAATATAAAATCTGTAGTTTAGTTAACCTTATTCATAACAGTGAAAATTTACATTTATGCATCAATTGAACCCCAAAAAGTTCAAGAACACGTCCAGCTAGAGTCCTCTACTATAACAGGTCGGATCGAAATCAGACCAATCCCAACCCATCTCACCCAAAGCTTTAAAAAAATTCCAAACTTCTCCCTAAAAGTGGTCATCATGGTGTCCCATGGTCAAGTTTGAAATTTTCTTGACAAACATATCCTCTTCCTGAACATTTTTACCTATTATAAACTGATTCTTTAGAGCCATTTCTTTTCTTTCTCTAACCCTGAGTCTATTTTGACTGACACGTTGAGCATGTTTCAAACAAAAATAAGGATCCAGATTAGGAGGTTATAATTCTTACAGCCCTAATGTGAGTCACAGTAAGCACAAAAGCATATATCGCTATTAAAGGAGTGACCTGGAAACCTCATACAGCGGGGGCGCATAATAATACAACATTGGGCTGGAAGTCCTTTTTTTGGGTTGGTTTTTTTTTTTTTTTTGAGGGGGAGGGTGGGGTTGGCAGGGAGGGGTGTCAGGGGATTTTTTTTATAGGCTGACATTGCAAGGCAAACAACTAATACTCTAAAACAGTTATACGCTAGATGATAATGATACAAGCAAAAAATTAAGCTTCTACATTATTCAAAGAAAATAACTATCACTATGAAACAGTTGTATCAAAGAAGAAAAAATCAAAGCAAAACAAAAGAGTAAATCATAATTATAATTCCTATAGGACTTACTGTTTTTCCATTGAATACATGTGTGTCCTCAATGACTGTATCAACAACAGAAGGATCCTCAAAAGTGATAAACCCAAAACCCCTAGGCTGCTGAGTGTGACGATCCTTCATTATCACATGGTCTATAATAGTCCCATACTTCTCAAAATGTCGCACAAAGGCACCTGGAATTGTCATACAAAACGACAAATTAGAAACAATTACAGGACAACAATCAGTATCTACTTCCATACGAGCCCTATCTATACAAACGAGCAGATTAAGGCGGCAAGGACTTCATCTCGTCCACAGAAACCAGTAGTGTGTAAGAGGAACCATTCAGATCAAGTTCTAACGGCCCTAAAAGGTGTAGAGGGTTTTCTACACTAATAGAGTGAGTTGGGAGTAATTAAGAAGAGGTTGCCAATACAAAAACTTGGTTTATTCACTTACTGGCATATATACCCCTTACATTATGGGGTGCGTATGCAAATAACCCTAATAAGGTTCACCACCTTAATACAAAAAAGATAATATCCGAGCAATAATAACTAACCAATGATCTATAAAAAGAAGATCAAATATATGATGAACCCCTCCACCAGATAAACTTTACTTCTAGTACTAATCTCCCATCACCCAGCTAGCCAAAGGAAATAGACAGATAGAGGACGTATATTTCACCCTAACACTAAAACCCTAATCAATTTACAAAATAAATCCCCGGAACACAAAAGAGATTGTACAATCAAAATAGGACGCAACTGCAAACCACCAAGCACGAAAATCTGTTTGAGACAAACCCAGATCTTGACCAAACAGAGAAGGAACCACAACCACAAGCCCTAAAGTTTCAGCGTAAAATTGAGAAACTCACTTGAGCTCAGATCTCTAGGAAGCCCTCCAATAAATATCTTCCTGCAACCAGAAAAAAAGGGGGAAAATCAAAAAAAAAAACCTCAAAAGAGAGATGAAAACAACGAGATCGAGATCGAGATCGAGAGAGAGGAATCGTGTAGATATGGTTACCCAGGGCTCGCTCCATCGTGCTCTGAGATCCTGGCGTCCTTCGGCATGGCTAGGGATTTCGGGTCGAGAGGATTTAGGGTTTCTAGGGCTTGGGAACGGAGGGGAGGGTTTCTGAGTCGCGGGCGGCTCGAAAGAGGAGAGAGGGGGTGACTTATAATTCTCCGGATCGTTCGCTTAGATCGACGTCCACCGTTGGATATTTTAGCGAGCGGCTGCGATTAGATCGGGACTTCACACGGAAATGGGCCGGGCTTGCCATGGATTGATGACAGACCCGTTGGGAAGAATATGGGCCGGTCGTATCAAAAGCTCTTGGGGTATGTCATTTAGGGCCTGTTTGGTTATTTCCAAAAAAAAATCGGAAATGGAAAACTCATCATTGAAATGATTTTAATACATTTCAAGCACATTTCTCAGATTTTTTTTTTTGGTTTGTTTCGCAAAGAAAACTCCACATTTCAATGCCAAGTCACACAAACAGATAAAAAAACCTCCATAGTAACAGTGCCCAGTTTTATATTTCTTTTGTTTGTTTGAGAACAAGAAATAGGAAATGAGAAATGGGGGTATTAAATATTATGTTTTATTATTCTGCACTATTCCAACAGTACTTTTACTAATTAATAATTCTTAGATGGGACATTTCCAAGTGCTTTCAGCCTAATTTGGTGTGAAAACACATTTTTTGAAAGTTTGAGGTGGCAGCCTACGTGGCGGTTCATTTCTCGAAAATTAAAAACGAAACAAACATGAGAAATGGAAATCTCTTGAAAACAAAATCCCATGTGACACTTGTTCATTTCTTGAAAGTTGAGGTGGCAAAAGATTTCCGGATTTTTTTTGGCAAACGAACAGACCCTTAGGTAAGCCCCACAAACCCCTCTAGAAGTCTGGGCGTTTCCGGGTGGTAGCACCTAAACCCTTAGAATGTCACAAAACCACACTTAAGTTTTAAGGTTACCATCCTTTTACTTCCAATTAATGATTTCTCTTTAATTAATGGTGATGAATTTCATTAGTTTATGAAAATATCCTTTTCCATAAACAAATGTAATCCGAAGCCAATTTGGATTATCCTGTTATTTCGAGCGACATGAAACCAAGTATGACCTGAGAAAGTACAGTGTTGCAAAAGCTAAAAAACACTTCAAAAATAGCGTTATAAAATGATGATGAATAATTAAAGCTAATGAGACAAGATGATTGTTCAAAAGTGAGCTGAAATGGTACGAAAGAGAGTATAGAATTTGTTCCTAATCCTTGATAAACTTTAAAAAATTATAAAGTTAAGATTAATCCTAACTCTAGTAGACTTTTATATGATAAAAACATCCATATAAGCATAGAAAAGTACTAAAAAGTTGATGAAAATACCTTCTAAAGATATCTAATTTACTCAAAAAAATAAATTATACTATAAAAATATGTAGAAATATGTGTCTTTCATTCATTCTGTTTCAATTTTTTAAAACTGATATCAATCCCTCTCCATCTTTATCCTTTTCGACAAAAGTAGACTACTTTTAGATAATGAAAGGGATAGTAAACCTTAAATTAGAAGTTAAATTTATATATCTTAATGAAAAAATATCCAATAACTATTCTTTCTTTGCTAAGTTTTGAAATTTTAGTCATTTTTTTATTTTGAATTGTTGAGGGTGTGTGTTGCAATTTTTAAAACTTTGAGAGTGTTTTCTTAAAATTTTTAAATTTTAAGTTGGGTGCTTGTGATTTTCATGTTTCATGTGTTGGTAGTAAGTTTTTAAATGTCAAAATACATCTTGCAACTCTAAAATTTCGAGGGTGTTTCTTGCAATTATTGAAACTTTGGATTGTTTTTTGTAAAATTCATGTTTTAGCGGTCTACTGAGAATTTTCAAATTTGATATGTACTGGTTATAAATTTTGAGATTTCGTAGTTTTTTGTTATTTTTAACTTTTTAAAGAGTTTTATTTGTAATTTTTATAACTTCGAGGTTATTTTTTATAATTTCAAAATTTTAGGTGCTTGATTGTAATCCCTTGAATTAACCTTTGTTATTTGCAAGTTTTGAAAGAATTTCATGGTGCTTTTTTATTATTTAAAATTTTGAGGGTGTTTCTATACATTTTGAATTGTTGAAGGGGCTAATTATAAACTATAAATTCTTCGAAGGCTATTGTAAATTTCTAAATTTCATGTTTGTTATATTAAGTTTTAAAACGTCAGAATTTTTTGTGTAATTTTATTTTTTAAGGGTATTTTGTGTAATTTTTAAAACTTTTTGGATTTTTTTACAATATTTCACATATTATAGTATTTTAGTTCTTTGCCTCAACAAAGTAATATCGTGGAGCTATTTTATGTATTAATCTTTTTTAAATGTTGATACAATTATAATTAGGATGAATTAAGATTTAAATGAAATATTCAAAATAGTGAAGGACAATGTTGACCATGAAAATTTTTGCTGAACTCGTACTTTTCCGAGCTTGATTATTAAGTATGAAATGATATGACATGATTATAACTTGATAGTCCTTTAAACATAATCAATATTTAAACATAATTTACTTTTAGCATTGTCACGATAACAACTTCAAACTCGATATTATCAATGAACGTACATGAATGTGTGTTTGTGCAGAATATCTTGATAAATTATACGCGAAAAATTCCCTTATTCATTGTTCAAGAAATTTAAAACCGGAGGAAATAAAGGACAAAATAAATAATGCATTAATCACCAAAACAAATGTAACTCTGAATATGAAAAAGAACTCATGTATAAATAGAAAGCACGTGCAAGGTTAACACTTTAATTCAGAAGCTTTTAGCTCAAATAAGAGAATGAAAAACAATAGGAAAAATTGTGTCGAGGCCCCAAAAGTATGAAATTTATGTGACCCATTGTTTGGTGGAAATTTGCAGTAAAAGAAATAATGAAAGAAAAATTTGACTTGTATTCCTCTCAAAATC